GGAGGTAGGCTTTTGTTGAGTGAAGAATACTGTGAGTGATTGGGAGAGCCGGCAGTCTCTCGAAGAACCGACCAACTGTTACTGTTCTTCCTTTCTTCTGAATGAATACCAGTTTCTTTGCTGATATTTGAGTTGTGTGAATTCTGCTGCGAGTCTGAGAATTGTGTGTAAAGTTTCTGGGACCTAACAGGTTCCCACTAGTAACTTATCTGAACTTTGGTAATACAAGAATCTAAACTGCAACAGATTTGCTAACAGCCACCACCGTCCTTTCAGATGATCAAGCTTCATTCTTATATCAAAAGACTCCAGTTTCAAAATTTGCAACAGCGCCACATCTGGATTTTGATTTCTCATAATGTTCCTAACTACCTTTTTCCTCCTTTCATCTCTTAGGCCCCTTACAATAAATAAAACCAGCTACATCTTCAAGTTCAACCTCCAAAAATCACTTCCCCTCTATTCCTCATCAATAATTCCTTCATCTGTCTCCTCCCCTTCCTCCCATACCTCACCTCCTTCCCCATTATCTTTCTTTCTATACTGTCCCCCACTTAAAGAGAGGTTTAAGGATGGAGAAGAGCTCTCTCCATAGTTTTCAAGGCATCAAGGCAAGGCTAGGCAACAGGGGAGCACCTTCTCACCAGAAAAACTTTGGCTGTTTGTAAAAAACAGCCAGGGCTGTTTTGGGAGCCTGCTACGAATGGCATCTCATAATGAGTGTGTAAAATAGTATTTACACTCAATACTTTTTTAGTTGAAAAGACAAATGAGGACCTGAATTAGCTAATGTGTCATGTGTAGAGGCTCCCAAAACAGCCCAGGCTGTTTTTTCCAAACAGCCAAAGTGATCTCCCTTCTCGCCTAGCTGCCTAGGCAATGAATTTTTTAAATATAAATCATGAATACTAGGGTAGTCCCCTAGGTCCATGAGAAGAAATTCAAAATATAGGGGCTAAGCCCCTGTTTTTAGTCATAGGAAAAGAAAAGGAAAGGTGGAAGAAGAATGTATTTATTGGACAAAATTTTAAGTTCCTGGTTTATTGGTTCAAATTATTATGTCTTTGAGGGTTCAAGACAGTAAATACCAACATGTGTGTTGATTGAACCCTAACAAATAAGAAAACAATAAAAAGAAGCTAGTACATAAACCCACAAAAGGAATATTTTAGTTTAATAATGTCTATTTTACTATTTTATTTTCAAAAAACTAATATAAAGTATTTCATGGAACCATGTACTTGATGCAACCCTCCACAAGTGCCTTGTTGCCTAGGCATTTCCTTGACAAAGACAAGTGGCATCCCATTCAAAGGACACCTCATAAGTTTAAGCAGGCCTTTCTTAACTCACATAAACTGTTTTAGGACTTATACCCATTTTAATGGGCTCTACTACAGGCCCCTTACATGTTCAATGAATTGTATTGGAGCCCAACCACCGTTTAAATTAATTTAGGGCCTGCAACCCACTTATGTGGATTCTACTATAGGCTCACAAAATATTTCAGCACAATTGGACAATTGGGCCTACACAATTGGTCTAAAAAGAGACTTAGATAAGCTATGATTCAGAGTGGATAATAACATGCTCCCTGTCCAACCATACTTTGAGGCTTCAACACCCAACCATAGTTTTCAAGGCGTCTAGGCGATTCTGGGCGACACGGGGGCGCCTAGTCGCTTAAAAATTTTATAATATGAAAAACTGACTTTTGGCTAGTTTCCTAGTTTTATATACCACTCAGCATGTATGTTAATTGAAAAATAGCAATTCTCTTTATTAAGAACATTAAATTTCCTCTAAAAATGTGGCAAATCATCACACCTAAAAGATAAAATCTTTTACATATATTAATTTCATTATTTTCAAAAATAATACTACTATAAAAGTATTTAATAGAGCAAATTCATATTAATTAGCAGCTAAAGAAGGTTATTAACTTTATATGATAAATATTCAAGATGGAAAGTAAAATAGAAAAAAAAAAAAACAAGGATGGAGTTTCTGTCTTATTTAATTAGAGAGAGAATTGAAAAAAAGAACTATATTATTCTATTGATTCTTTCCCCTTTCTTTTCTTTTCTTTCTTTCTTTCTTTCTTTTTCTCTTCTCAAAACCCTTTGATCTTTTAAATTTCAATAGTAAAGCATTAAAACAAAATATAATTGATATATATAGCACATAAAAAAATGTATTAGCACATACATTAATAAGATAGAGCAATACAAATGATATTATGAAAGGTGCCCGCCTTGTCATTTTTGTCACCTAGGCGGGCGCTTAATTGCCTAGGCAGGTGCCTAGTCACCTAGAAGGGCGCCTAGTTGCTAAAAGTGAAGGCGTTTGGGCGAGGTACCCAGCCAAGGGCACCTAGTCGCCTAGGCGACACCTAGGCAACGCCTTGACAATTATGCACCCAACATTCCTTATTTTGGGTACACATCATCTGTTTCTTTCATAGAATGAAAATTTCAAGGAGCTAGACATACTATCCATTCCTGCTTGCCTTTCTCTCCACTCTGCAATCCCTATTTTTGCTTCTAATTTCATTTTTCTATTGCAGCTTCTTGTTTCATAGATGACTCCATCGGTGAATCCTTTGAGCCTGACCATACTTGTCCCTCCATCAGGACAGCACCCTTCCTCAGATCCCTTATTTTCTGTGTCACAATTGCTGGCACCATTCTCCTCCCTGATAAATTTCTTTGTTTCCAACTCTCATGTCTTCTGCAACTTTGTTGAAGGTTCAAATGACATTCCCAGACAAGATAGCATTTGGAACTGGTCATCATGACCTAGCCATGACAGATTTGAAAATTTGTGTTCAAAATTTTGAAACTGGTAGATTTAAAATTCAATTATGGTTTGGATAAGCATGCTCTAAGAGGAAAATTAATGTTATTAGTTAAGAGCATTGCTATATTTTCAATTTATGTGATGCTGGTTGGAAAATGAAACTAGGGAACTGACCAGAGATTACGGTTTTGTTCCTTGTAAAATTCTATTGTATAGGTTCCTAGGCATTCAACTCACCTAGAATTGCTTATCTGGCTTGACAATTATAATATAGTCTGATATTAAAAAAATACTCAATGAGGTTGGGCCTTGGCATAACAGTTGGGATTGGCCACATGAATACTGTTTTGCCATTCCGTTCTGTTCAGTGACCTATCCATTATTACATTATGGGTGCTTAAATCATTTCTCATTGCTTCCACCCAAGTCCTTTTTGGTCTGCCCCTAGCTCTTCTAGCCCCTTCAACTTGTAACATAGCACTTTTCCTAACAAATGCCGTAGATGGTCTTTTATGCACGTGACCAACCATATTTCTCTACTTTTCCTCATTTAATCGCTTATTAGAGCTACTCCTAGGTTACTTTTTTTGGTAATAATAGAAAAAGAAGATTCATTGATAAATAAAATAGTATATCAATGAGGTAATGAGAAGTTACCACACATTACAAGAACAGCATTTCTCCAACTTTCATCTAGGTTCCTTAGTATGACTTCATTAAATCCATCTAAGCATTTGCATTTCTGTCACATTCATTTTTTCAACATGTTGTTTCTTAACTGCCCAACACCTTGCCCCATACAACATAGCTTGCCTTACAACTGTTTCATAGATTTTTCCTCTTAGCTAAAGTGGTATTCTCCTACCATATAAGACTCCTGATGCACCCCTCCAATTTGCCCATCCTAGTCTAATTTTATGGATGACATCCTCCTCAATCTCTCTTTCATTATGAATTATTCAACCAAGGTAACGGAGTTCACACATTGACTTATCTCTTGGTCACATGTGAATATTAATTATGCATAGCATTTGCTTTGGAGGAGTGTCCTTGGAGGAAAACAAGCAAGTGATTAAATAGATAGTAAGTCTGCATTTGAGAATGTAAGGTAACAATAGGACACCAACTCACAAGTCCTTTCTCTCTTGCAGCTGCAAATGAACCTGCTGCAACAAAATCATCATAAGCAACCTGTGAACATGCAAAAATTAAAAACTGCATGTTAAAAACATTTTAGGGTAGGAAGCGATTGCAGAATCAAGAAACCAAACTCCAAGAGGCAATCCCTTACACGATGTATTCTATACATTATTTAACTTTGCTGGCTCAAAGGTGCTAACACCAAATAGCTGGAACCAGGTTTCAAGAATTAATTGGACAGTTGAACATTTTTTCTTGCAAATAATAAACTGGCAAAACAATTGTAGCATACTATTGAACACAAGAAAGGATGTCTAGGTGGATTCTTTAAGGTTTCTAGCAATTACAAGGCCAATGGGGTAACTAAATAAAATATATAAAAACTACAAAGCTGCTCAAACTTTGAAACATTTTGGGTTCAAATATGCTTCCATCAAGTTGCACTATATTTCTCAATGGATCATATTTTCAGCCCAAATCTCTATCCTTTCACTTTATTTCTCAATGGATCATATTTTTGCATTGCAGCCACTTCCCTAAAGAGAAGCTTTTGTTAAGTTCACCATTTGCCACTAGTGGGAAAATATTCAGCCATATGAGATCAAATGTCAGTCTTTTGCAGACCACCAATAAAATTTATTTGAAGATAGACAAGGAATGTCTTGACAGTGTAGCCGGCCAGAGATAAGAGGAAGAGGAGAGAAGAGAAGAGAAGAAGAGAAGAGAAGAGAGGAGAGAGGAGAGAAGAGAGAAGGTTTGCAATGTAACAGTACTGGCGGCGCCAGTGTTTATTTTACTATATATAGGGCGACAGAAATAACAAGGGAAAAGACCCTTGTGCCCCTGAGTACAATAACAGACATAACAGAAATAAAAAAACGAAATAAAAAAAAAAAC